CAGCATTAGTTTATTCCCACCTCCATGTGATTTCTAAGAGATTTCTGAACTTTCAGCTTGAACTCAGACACTTGTTCAACATCGTTGTCTTTTGGCACAAGGTGAGTCTGAATGAGGCTGAACGTGATTGGGTAGATGTTTGAAATGGACACCTCTGTTTCAGCAGATATGACCGTTGTTGCCCATTTCAGTGTTGCCAGCACAGGTGTGAAATTCTCAATTATTTGCCAGCAGTCATCTTCGATCTCAAGGGTCTGAGCTTCCTGTCTGTTTGTGATTGTGCGATCAGAGAGCACAGCTTTAATTGCCCATCGTTGCTCAAGCAGGCGTTCGAACATATCGCAGATGGTGTCCCATCTGGCTTTGCTTGACTGGATAAGCTTGTGCTGTGGCAGGCACATCTGAACCTGCTTGTGCTCCAACGCATCACTTGCCATCGAGTTGTGAGTGAAATGCCTGACTAGTTTCCCTGCTGCGACAATGATACGGACTAGATCCTCACTAAGCCCATCACTGACTGCTAGCTGCAGTGTAGTGGCAAAGCAAGTGGCGTAGTCCCAGGTGACACGGGCACACACATGGGCTGATACCATCTCCTGTGTGTTGTTATGAACGCATGCAGTCACCTTCCCAGCAACACCCCAGGCTTTCACAGTGTTGAGAAGCCTCTCCGTGATACTGTCTGTAGTAGTGTGGCTGTCTGATGATAGTCTGTGAGTCTGCAGCACCGCTGACCTTCCATGCCAGTCTTCTGTTATGAATGAACAGGAAACTGTAATGTACTTCTGAAATGGGAGGGCTGCCCAGAAGTCGGCAGTGAGAGCCACCTTCTCCACTCGACCCAGCTGCACCACAAGTTCCTCCACCTTCTCATGGTAATGGCTTTCAATAAGCCGCATAATATCACCAGCAGATGGGATTTTATAATTGTGCACAGTGTATGCAAGTAGCTCACGAAAGCCATCGCCACTAACCACGCTGATGGGAAGCATGTCCTTCTCTATCATTTTGGAGATAAGTTCAGTCACCTCTGCATGCGTTGCCAGTGACCCACCATCACTGGGCATAGTGTCAGGGTGCTTGTTTCTGATGTGGTACATCATGCTGGTGGTGCTGCTCCTGTATTTCAGCTTGGTGTCGCACATAGTGCAATGAACCTCGTCGTCTACTTTGATGAAAATGTCCCAGACAGAGCTCCGCTTTAGGCGCTTCCTCTCGCTGTAGTCGCGCTCAGGGGGGCTGACAGTCGTGTTTATGTTGGGTGACATGATCGCAACCTGCGTAATGTCCGAATTAGCGACACTGTCCTCCTCGATGCACTGAACGGTACAGATGACTGGTTTCTCATCTTCCTCCGGTGGTGTCGTGTGCGGATGGTGCCTGCTCATGTGGTTCATCATGGAGCTGGTGGCTCCGCCGCAGTACTTCAGCGTAGCGTCGCATTTCATGCAGCGGACGAAGTTCCCCACTTGTTCAAAGCAGTCCCAGACAGAACTCCGTCTTCTCCCCGTACGCTTCATGTTTTTGTACAGCTGGCTAATGTCCGATCCTAAAGCATTTTAGGTTAGCACGCTAGCTAATATCAGAGCCAACTTTCAATGCAAAAATGATATCTTTGTGGTAATAAACACCAAGTTGTGAGCCGTTTCACGTGTACATATGTCCCAACAGTGAGGAGAGTGTGGGTATGATTCTGCTGAAGTCTCGTTTTTCAAAAAAGAAAATATGTTTATTTTCCGCCAGGCATGCAGATATCCCCGAATCCTGTGTGCGGTATGTGGGGTCGATGGTAGATGACGTCATAAAAACAGGAAATGAGGTAATGCAGATTTATTGCAATTGAATTTATTTTTAATACACGTCAAATTTACGTCAATTAATTTGGACATTATTGAAGAGAAATAGAATATAGTTATGCATTTATCAATACTCTTGTAATTTACCTAACAATTTCCTTTTGGGGGGTATCCTTATCAAAATAGGTCTTTTAATAAGTGGTGTAATACAGTTATATTGTGCTCTTTATTGCCTGAATTTTTGTCATGTTTTTATTATTGTTTGTCATTTAATTTTTTAAAAAATGGTGTAGACCACCAAAAGGTGGTGTCAGTGTCGCTGTTTCACTACACAAAAAAACATACTCTGACAATGTGTATGTAAACCATGTGTTTGGTGTGTATTATTTGTTTCAGGTGCATAGTACTGGAGAGGAGGAGAGTTTACTGGTGGTTCAGTCTTATGATGACCTGAGCAGAAAACTGTGGAGGCTGGAGGGTCTGCCTCTCTCTATCACAGCAGTGCAGGGAGCCCACCCAGCACTCAGATACACACAGGTAAAGCCTCTTGTCCTCACTCATCAGTGATGTGGTAAGGAGTAGTAAAATGTTAGTTATTTTACAATATTTTAAATGCCATTGCAATGTAGTTTGGTGCTTTTGTTAAATTACTGATAGATGTGGTCATGTAAATTGTGAACTTACTGTTTTATGACAGTTCTAATATTTCAGCTATGCCTTGCAGGTTTTCCCCCCACTGCCAATGAAGCCGGACTATTCCTTCTTTGACAGAGAAAAGACTACTAGGTCACTGGTGCCAAAGGAAGGCAAACCTTGCCCAGCTTATGTCACCCCTATCAAAGGTTAGTTCTTCATGCACCAGCAAAAAATAATAAGGTGTTAACTCTCATTTAATCATTTGAAAACTACATCTGGACTTAAGTAATTTCTGCACTGTCTGACAGAGTGAATGTGTTATGTATGAATTTTCACTCTGACTGAAACATAATTTTACTTTTTCTCTTTTGCTCTGGTGGTTACATGTCATTTTTCTTAAAATCTGGGATGACAATAATGGTATTATTCAAAGCAGGAAAGTTGCAGCCACTTAACCGCTGACATTTAGCAATATAAACTCATATGCCATTGTATTGGTAACCCTGTTCTTGTAGTGATCTGTCACATGGAGGGGAGTGGAAAGTGGCCTCACAATGCTCTCGCCATTCGGCATATCCGAACTGCCTTCCACATCCGCCTGGGAGAGTTACTCAAGAAGAACCATAATTATACATGCAGGCCCTGCCCCACACACCTTGATGTCTGGAAGGTATATTTTAAGTACTATATGCTATTCTTTTGCCTGTGATCTTGACTGTAAAACTGTTTTTTGGGAATGTAATTATGAGTTTGTGATGTGTCCAGGCAAGTTGTTGAAACATTTTTTTAAATGCAGTATTTAGTTCCTTTCTGTTGTCTTCTCTCCCTTTGTTAATGTATCCAGGATGGCTTGGTGTTCCGCATCCAGGTGGCATACCATCGGGAGCCTCAGGTGTTGAGGGAGAGTGTAAATGCTGAGGGACTGCTTGTTGTAAGGGACAATGAGGAGGTTCAGGCTTTGGAGATGGCCACCATTCACAAGCCTCTACTCACCAGCACATTACATGGGTAAAATTAAAAAAGTGCTTGTGTGAGAAAGCAAAGTATTAGGGTCACTGTTATAACTTTTCAAGAAAAAGTTGTGTTTTTTTTTTTTTATATATATACTTATGTTTTCACTTCGTTCAACTTTTGTTATACTGTTCTTTTCTGTCTCTCACCTCTCTCCCTTGGAAAAGAGGTTCTAAACCTCAATGGGACTTCACTTGGTAAAATGAAGTTTGAATAAAATAAAATAGTTTATCTTTCTTGTTTATTATTTTACCTGCATACAAATGCATCTTATACGTTTCATCTTGTCGTTGGTAGGCTCCAGCAGCAACACCCATGTTTCGGGGCAGTGTGTCGCCTGGCCAAACGTTGGCTGGGGGCTCAGCTCTTCAGTGAACACATTACAGAGGACACAGCAGACTTATTGGTGGCATCACTCTTCCTGCACCCTGCACCCTTTACTCCTCCTGGGTAACTACCACTTGTACCTTTTACTAACCTGTCTACCTCATGTGGGTATACATTCTACTCACTACCTTTTGTTTGTTCAGTAGGTCATGAAAGCACTTTTTTTTTCTGTATTCCTCAGTTCTCCTCAGGTGGGCTTCCTTCGTTTCCTTCATCTACTCTCGTCCTTTGACTGGAGGAACAACCCGCTGATAGTCAACCTCAACAGCCAGCTCACAGGCAAGCACTCCCACTCACCCTTTTATCCTCACACAAATGGCATCCCTATGACTTTTATTTACTCACTTGACATACTTTAACATCCTGCTCACATGCATCACTGTTTCAGTACCAAGTTTTGTTGTTGTTCACCGTCTGTCACATGTAGCGGCCGACTACACAGAAATCAAGAACACGTTCATGGGATCCAGGGAGTCTCTGCCTGTCATGTTTATAGCTACACCTAAAGACAAAACGTTATCTATGTGGACCAAGCAAGCACCTACTGTACAGGTCAGTGGACACACAAGCAGAGTACACAGTTCACACAACGCATTTAGTTAGTAAACAGGAAAAAAACACAAACTGGAATATTAATATAACTGAATGTCTTTTGAAAGATGATAAATGCATGGCTCTAAACAGACTGACTAGATTAGTTTAAGAAACTAAGATAATTCTAGATGGACTGAATTTGTGCATTACATACCACAGGCACATAGCCATGTTTTTTTTTGACTCAGCCGGAAATTGGTTGGTATGGAGCCTTTACAAGACCTCATGCCAATCATTGATCTAGAAAATATATGTATTACTTTAACAAATATTAAAATAGCACAAAATATCCAACAATAAACAACATTCTGAATGAAAGAATTTGCATCTTACAATAACTGCATCAACAACTCAAAACTAACTCAGAAGCACTCTGTTGGGACCCGATTCTTTTCACTGTTAACTCTGAGAGACGAGGCAGTCCAAGGAACTACAAAACAGTGCTGATTTATTCAATGAACACAGGTAAAAATTAACATTACACGCTCAGGTATCTTGCACCTCCAACATGCACGCAGGCAGCTGAAAGCTGAAAAGCCCTGAACCATAACAGGCCTTTACATTATATATCCTCGGGCTAACCCCATTCTACACAGGAACGCCAAACCATGACGCCTCCCGGTGCCAGCTTTGCAGCTGGCCAGAGCCGTAGTCAAAACATGAAGAAAATCAATGTGTGAATGTCTGTTGATTATGTGGTGTGTAGCTAAAACATTCTGACATGACATTAAGCATACGAAAATATTATGACTACGATTATGGTCAAACACGTCATAACAATAATACTAAACATTCTGTCTCCTAACAACAATCAACTTTCTATCTAGTTATCCTTGAACCTGAACAATCTGAAGTACTCCATGAGAATGACTAAGCATAAGCATTTAACAGCCTGAGCTAGACATCCTGTCTACACTAAATATTTCTAATACATCAAGTATCCAACCAATATCTATCTAACTAAAAATATCTAACAACAACTTACACTTTTAGAGGCCATCAGGTTGTAGCTCACCAGTTGCTTTTCATTGTTGTCATAAAATAAAGTAAATGTTTTGCTTTGAATCCCTCTGTCTGGATGTGACCGCAGCTATCAGAGTCCAGTGGCACAGAGTAGTGTATAGAAAAGGCACACACAGCAGCTCATGGCCAGTAGCTGACCCAGATAAGTTTCCTGTGCTCACCCACCTTGCTCCCCCTACAAACCCAAAGTTAACATTGAGTGTCTCCCAGCATCCTCCTTTAATAGTGAGC